AGGAAATACCAATCTTGACGAGCAGAATTTTGGAAATTGTCTTTTTCCCAAGCATTTGACAATTAAAGTGCTTTCTGAACTTTGTGTTGAAATACGAAGTGTAAATGTTCCCTTCCAATGTGTTAAAATTCAGTGTGACGAAGAAACTACACAAAATTAATAGTTTGATATTATAATAAAAGCAGCTGGAAATTTAAGAAAATAATATCAGAGTTTGCTCAGTGGCTTAAATTATTCCTGGAAGAATGGCATTTAGTTAAGTGGCAAATTTTCCGTAGGAATTGCTTCCTGTAGTTTGGGACGTATAAACCTCATTGTATAAAGCTGAGTATTTATTAACCGATACTACAATAAGTGGCTTTGACATCACGTTATCAAAGCATAACAACTGCAAAAACTATATAGGTTATTCACCTTATGAATAAGAATTTCATTAATTTCAATGAAGATTTACTAATTATTTTCTGCAAAATTTCTGAACTGCAGCATGTTATTTAAAGACTGTTTTATCCAGTGTATGTTTACCTTTGATTTCTGTTTTTACCAAACTGCAGACATTATTTAGTTTTTATCAGAATACTAATATTTCAAAATAAGTTTTAAAAGACTTGATTCATAAATTACTTAAGACGTATATTAAAAATTCAGGATTTGAATAAAAGTATTAAAATATAGAGTAAAATATTTCGTTAACCACGGTGAAATTTCTCAACTGTAATTTTTACGAAAATGGTGTATAAACAAGATAAAAAGTACATACATTTCTCATACTTTCAGCTGTTTAAATTCTTGATAATTTCATGAAGTTATTTTAATGAGTTTCAATGTTAAATATTTTTACTTCCCAAGTGTTGCGAACGATAATATTAGTGAAATAATTTACATATAATTTCCAGTAATCCAAAACGTTATGGAGAAACGCAGACTTTTGTTAGGTAGAGAAATTATCTGATAGCGTTATAAAAACTATGTGAATGATTTTATGATTTATGGAAATTTAAATTTTATTTTAATTCTGAATTATTTATTTTAAGGCTTTAATTTTGGGGAAAAACAGATGCTTCTGGAAATATTATTTAGTTTAAATGAATATTATTTATTTTCTTTTATTTGCAAATCTTGTACAAACTTTTATTCATTGTGAAAGAAGCAGGGAAAGGGAGGCAATTTTTGCCAAGTCATGATTTCGCGCGCTTTGTCCTTTAGAATGTTCGAGAAAGAATTTTCATTGTTAGTTGACCTTAAGAGAGGAAAGTACGTGACAGAAAGGTCAAAGGTTGCTACTTGTCTTTCAATGTAAGTCATTCAGGTTTTTGGCGATTGAGGGTCCGGTTGTTGGCTAAGTGAAGAAAGGCGCGCATGCGCGATCACCCTTATTTCCGCATTCAGGGGTTGAAAACGGAGATTTTGCCATAATTAAGGGGGCGATAAGTGAAGCCATAGTGGGAGCCCGTTTTGTGAAGGAGACGAAGGAAATTCGAGTTGGATACGCACTTACTTTTTGACTCACTCTCGGACTGACTCGCTGATTTTCGGGCTTGCTGGACTTACGGGCTTGCTGGACAAAATGTAATTACGAAGAGAGATGTTTTCCGGCGGGGAGCGGCAAATATGCTCCCCGGCCGCGTTTGGTTAAGAGGCGAGACTCACTCACGCTTGGATTCGCTGACTTTCGGGTTTGCTGGACTTGTGGACGTTGCTCTTGAAAACTGGCTTGAAGGAAATTCGAGTTGGATTCTCTCTCTTACTGACTGGCGGGTGGAACTTACTTGGGACGTTACTCGTGAAGCTTGCTCTTGGGATGAGTAAGAACAGGCGAGCCGTAATTGCCTAGAAACAACGTTTCTGACCTGAGGCTGAAAACCCTCTTCCTTGCGGCGTGCTGGTAAAGAGGCGAAATTTGAACGAGTTACCTGCGTGTTGACATAGGACTTTCAGGACCAAGCGGATAGCCGTCCTGGGCAGCAGTGCTCCTGTTTCTGTTCTACAGTGGTGAAGTGGAGTCTACATTTTTAGAACCAGTGTCAAGATGAGCCCGGCCGACATCAACGCTTGATAAGATAAGAGTCCTCCACTTCAAGATGTCCCCTCAAGATAAGTTTATTTTTTTTTTGGTGTGTTTGAACTTTAGGCAAGCTTTTCAAAAACGTCCTTAGCAGTAAAAAACAACGTCGAATCTAAAATTTAACTCTCAGGCCTTAAATTGTTTCCCTTTCCTTTCTTTTAAATCACCAGACAAACCTTAAGTTTTTTTATGAATTTAAATGAACAGACTCTCAGATGAGGTTAAGATTTTTCTTATTGTGTTGTAATTGAATAAACTGATATTTAATCTGGAACCTCTTACAGTATGTTTTCTTTATATATTTAATATGAACTTTTCCTTTATATCTTGTATATGTTTTATGTTTTCGATCCTCTCACGGCGCGGTCCCGGAATGCATTTTTTTCACAACGCAAAAAATGCTGTACACGTTTCACTATACGATCACTACCTTTCACGGCAAGTAGTTTCATATTTAACATTTAACATAATATGAATTTAAGATATAACATTGGTCAAGATGTCTTTACCAGATAAGTAATTTTTTTGGTTGGATTGAATTCTCACGGTAATCTATATAACATTGGTGCCGTGAAGTAAGATTCATAACATTATTTCCCGGCGTGAACTTAAGCAATTTAACAATTTTCCTGTTTCAGAGAGATATAGTGTACACTATTTATATGTAACGAATCTGTTTAGACCTGATTATTTTATTTCTTTCTGTGATTTTCTAGGAAACTTATTTTTATGCATTTTCTTTACAAATTTTCAATAAGTTAAATTTTTATAACTCTAAATGAGAGTGAAAGATATAACTCGATTCAACCTTTTAATTACGTGACTAAGTCTTAAAAAATGATTTACCTAAAACGATTAAAGCCAAGGAATCATCTTACTTAGGTAATCATTCACCACACCTCCGCTGTTAATTAAAAATTTCAGAAAAATCTTGGCAAATTTAAGGCGTTTCTGTACGTTTTATTAACTTATATTGTGCATGTTTTTTGGCATGTGTTCTTGTTTTATTATTTCGCAGACCTCTTTTTGGTGATTCTTACTTCTTGTCTTTTTAAAAGCTAAGATTTGACAGAACTGAAAAAGACAGTTTTAAATGATTGAATGCTTGTTGAAAAACTAAAGCGAATTACATTTGAATCAATGTTTATTTTTTACATGAGAGGAATTATTCATAGGTATACCATATTTTCTCGCATATCCCTCCCCTTAATGCTAAAATATTTAAAAAATATCCGCCTAATTTCCTCTATTTTATTAATTTTCCCTTTCCAAAAAAGTAACCTTTTTTTTTTTTTTTTTTTTTTTTTTTTTGTAAATTGTATTCCTTTCATTATTTTTATTTTTAGTCTTTGTATTCATTTTATATTTGTAATTTTATATTAACATTTCATCCGTTTTATTTCATCTTGTATTTTTTATTTGAAACGCATTTTGCCCACATGTTTCATAAACTACTGGGAAGTCGCAGGTAATTCCACACTTAAGAAACTTTCCAAACATGTGTTTCAGCTTACTTCTATTATTTACGTTGCAGATTGTTTTAGACTTATCTGCTGCTGATGTGTTTGTTTTTTGAAAATCTGGGGTTTTTGTTCGCTCCTCTTCTTCTTTGTTCCGGCAATGTCCCTTTTGGGAATTGAGGTCAACACTCATTCATGTGAGGTGTCCTTGGGGATTTTCGAAAGCAGCTGAAATGTACACGTTGCGCACAGCGCGATGTGTCCAAGCCAGTTACCCCATCAGATATTATAAAGTTAATATCACTATTGTCATTAGAATATATGTTACTTTGAAGAAATAATATTGTGATAATGTCCAGTTGTTTATCCATGATAACTTTTCATTTGTTATATTCTTACTCTAACTGGAACTTCGGAAATTAAATTACTGGCAAAATATTCCTCTCCCGATATTCGGACAGTAAAATTAGTTAAAAAAACCGGAAAAATTACAATATACCGCCTTTTTGAGGGCTCGTCTACTGAATACATTTTTTCAAAGTTAGAAAATTACTATTTCTTGAATCCTCCAAATCTGGAATGCATAGGATTCTGCTATAAAATTAAGAATTCCTTTTACTTCAAATAATGAGATTTGGGTGATGTTTCGTTTTTAAGAGATGCAGATTTAAAAATACTTAAACTACATTTAAATCTGCATCTATAGCTTTGCATTTTGCCCTCGTAAAATTCTAAATATGAACCCGAATTTATGTCTCCTAAATATATATTAAATTTTAAACATTAAATATGATATTCGTAATAAAAATTTCTTAAATTTTACGAAATATTAAAATTAGTATGTGTCATTCAGTAAAATATTATAAATATTTATGAAGGCCTTTTTCAAAAATTTTAAACTACATTTAAAATATTTGTAATATGGATAAGAGATGCAAATTTAAAAGTGCTGAAACTACATTTAAAATCTTCATCTTTGCATTTTGCCCTCGTAAAATTCGAACATGAAACCGAATTGATGTCTCCTAAATATATATTGAATTTTAAATATTAATATGATATTCGTAATATAAATTTCTTAAATTTTACGAAGTATTAAAATTAGTATGTGCCATTCAAGAAAATATTATAAATATGTATGAAGGCCTTTTTCAAAAATTTTAAACTACATTTAAAACATTTGTAATATAAATTATGCTGTTATATTTGTTTTCTTGCCACTTGAACATTCTTTTCCTTATGTTGCTACTTACACAAACTTACTAAAGAGAAAGATGACAACTCTAAATTTTAAATTATGCACTTTCAGCAACCTTATCGGAAATCCAATTAATAGCGAGTTGAACATTTATCAAAGTGTTTAGAAACTGACTATTCTCCGATAAAGATGCAAGTGTAAAAAATTCGAATATTCACTTAACACTGCTGTTATATCTCAGTGATTGCATACATCTAACCATTTTATGCTTTATTAGGTACAGGATGATGAACGAAGAGCTGGGAGATGGAGATAGAACGAAATTGATTATCGAAAAAGCTGAGAGAAAGGACTCTGCCTTGTTCACTTGCACCGCTATTAACGATTACGGTGAAGATTCCATGAACATTCAATTAACAGTGCAAGGTGAGTAGCCGGGAGAAAAAAAAAGATTTTTTTTTTTGAAGTGTATATCGACAGATTTTTTATATTCCTTTTTTAGGGAAAGAGTAAGGAAACTGGAGGAATTTAAAACGGATAAAAAATTGCTTTATAATCAAAAGTCTGATCTAGGTTATTGGAAAAGTGTATAAGTGGATTATTACGCTTTTGTCTAATTTGAAAACAATGATTATATTTTAGCTTATCACACTTGCGTTAGTTTTTAATGTGAGATTGAAGATAGGTTTTTATTTAAAAGATTTCTGTGGAAGCTTTCATGTGGTAGAAGTATAAGTTTTATTTGTTGATATATTTTATTTATACACAAAAACGAGAACGGTACTCAAAGACAAAGATCATGATCTGATAATGATGAAGAACTTGCAATACATATTTTATCTATAAATTTTCAATCAACTGTGAAATGTAAGAGATCAACCTGAAGCTAAGTTGTCACTTGTGTAATTATATCTTCTTTCACAGTTATTTTTGATCGATTAACATTCAAAACATCTTAGTTATAATTATGTTTATCTACGTCAGATAATTTCAGTATCAAAACGCATTTGCGTTTTAAATAGTCGTAAATGCATTATTAATTTCCTTTGATTTAACTACTTGGAATGGTGGTTGGTAATCTTAAATATAATGATATATAGAGAATCTTTATTTGACGAATTTAATTCTTTCCTGAGAATGGCTCATCAGCTGAAATATTCATAGACAGAAACAATTTGCCCCATATAAATTAATACAAAGTAAATTCATTTGTTTTCGGGTTTAAAATTTTCATCTGCCTAAAAATCTGTAATTGTAATTTGTGTGTTAACGTTTAATATTTGTAGCATATTTCAATGTTTTGTTTATAATTTTTCTACTGCATTAAGAAACCTAATCTCCTTTCTCACCAGATTGTAACTGCAAATTAGCAAAATATTCACTGCTTTAAGCATCAGCTCTGCTGTAAATAATATTTCTAACAGTTCTTCATTCTCAAAATTCCCCTTTCTTCCTTTTCTGCCTTTTTTATAAACTATGGTAGAGATTATTTTAGCATCAGGTGTTTCAAAAGAAATTTGCGTTTTAAAGATTTTAATTAATTTTCAAAAGAAATTTGCGTTTTAAAGATTAAAATTTGCGTTTTAAGCTAGAATGATTTTAAAATCATTCTAGCTGCATAGCGCTTAATGAACATTTAAATATTCACTGTGTTCACTAGAATCATATTTTTGCCATCTTAGAACTCAGGTTCGGTATTACCGTGAAGTTCCAATTACTGCGAAACAGGATTTAATATCTACAGATATATCCTCATACCCTTTGATAATCACCCTTATATTTCTACATAATGCTACCTTAAGATACAGGGTGATCAGCGAATAAGCCCAGATTTCAAAATTATATATCTCTACAACAAAGATCGATAGAATTATGCGGTAAACTGTACGTTCATTAGCAAAACTGTAAAATTGGTGTGCAAAAGTTTAGAAATTTAGTTCCGAAAATCGTTAACAGATGGCGCTCTGCGCTGAAAAACTCTTTGTCTGAAAGCAGTTAAAAAAACAATAAATTGAAGCAGCCTTTGCAATCAAAATACAATTTTTTTTTTCAAAATATTCACCGTTCGAAACAATGAGGTGGCGTAAACGAACAATGAAATTTGACATTACGTCTTGCAATGTCTCAACGGAAAAGGAATCACATGCAACACCAATCAACGATTCAAGCTCATCTAGAGCAGCGGGATTATTTCGATAGACAGTGTCTTTCAATGCGCCCCACAGAAAGAAGTCACAAGGACTCAGATTGGGAGAATATGGAGGCCAAGCTATTCTTGTGTCATTAAATTGCGGATAATCTAACGCAATTACTCTATTTCCAAAGTATTCATGAAGAAAGCGAAAAACTTTATCTGTTCGAGCCCCATCTTGCATGAACCAGTCGATACCTGGTCGATCCTCCAACGCTAGTTGAGTGCTGACGAATTGTTCCAAAATTGTAACGTAACGTTCAGTAGTTATTGTTTCTCGTACGAAAAATGGTCCGATAATGTCTCTAGCGCATACCGCAGCGCATGCAGTAACTTTAGAAGAATGCAGTGCTTTCTCTTCACACAAATGAGGATTTTCGGTACCCCAAAATCTCCAGTTTTGTTTATTAACGATTCCATTCAAATGAAAATGTGCCTCATCTGTGAACCAGATGCAGCTCGCATCAAATCTGTCGTTGCCGACCATTGTTAGAATCTGATTCGCAAAGTCAACCCTTTGTTGCACAGCTTTCATGGGTATGGTTTGATGACTTTGGATTTTGTATGGAAACAGCCGTAGGCTATTTTTTAATATTTTTTGCGTGCTCGTGTACTTCAAACCTGTCTCTAATGCCATCCGTCGGATGCTTTTCCTAGGATTTTGCTGAACAATTCCAGAAACTTTGGCTGCATTTTCAGGAGTGACTACAGTTTGCCTAGGCCCAACATTTCCCTTTCGATTATCAGCCACGCTGCCAGTCCGTTCAAATTTCGCGAAGAGCATGCGAATGGTTATCGCATCGGGTCCAACTGGAGCATTGAATCGGTTTTGAAAACTGCGACGTGTTGCCATAGGACTGTGTTCTAATTGGTGAAATTCCAGAACCGAAAAAACACGTTGTTCAATGGAATATATTATTTCACTTTCTACGTTAGCCTTTTTTCATTAGCCAACAGTCGTACTGATCACTTTCGAATTCAAAGCACATTTTTAAAGGCTACTGATAAGTCATTGCGATTAGAGCGCCATCTGTTAACGATTTTCGTAACTAAATTTTCTAAACTTTTGTACACCATTTTTACAGTTTTGCTAATAAACGTACAGTTTACCGCATATGTCTATCGATCTTTGTTGTAGAGATATTTAATTTTGAAATAAGGGCTTAGTCGCTGATCACCCTGTACCTACTTAAGATATTCTACACACTAAAATGTTCAATTCTGGTAAAACATCTTATTTTCGTTTATAATCGTATTGGATAAAATATATTTTTAGCTTTTACAAAACAATCTGTTTTTAGTTAGAAGAGAAGATATTGAAGATTTTATGAATCAGATAGAGCCGAAATTAAGCATATTATTTCCCAAAATCGGTTTTTAAAGGGCTAACAATCTATTAAAAACTAATTTTAAGAGAAAATCCTTAAAACTATACTTGTAGTCAGGTTTTGGAATAATAATTTAGAAAATAGATGTAATTGAAAGCAAAAAAATCGAACAATTCAAAAGGCCAGTCTTCTCAAGGATCAAAAGAAGTGAAGAAAAATTAACTAATGTCTTTATTCATTTACTGTAATATTACTACAGAACTGAAATTCGTAGCACATACCAGTAACCTTTATAGTAAGCAGAGTCAGAGAATTGGAGCAATGTTACATGTGTGTTCATATGCACTGCAACCTACGTATCTTTAGATTTTTTTCAATTGCTAATGCATGCTTTTGCAAAAAAAAAAAAAAAAAAAAAAAAAAATTATCGCAAATGCTTCTTAGTGCTTTTGAACAAAAAATTATCGCAAATGCTTCTTAGTGCATTTTACATTATATTTATGATTAATGACTTGCAAATAATTCTTTCGTAAAACTTCGAACTATAACTTCGAACTTTACTATTTATTAAACACATAAAAGGCAACTTCTTTGAGAACTGCTTTTAGTTAATTGATTTTGTGTCTGTACAAAATGGAAAATATTTGCCACTTAAGGGAAATATTTGTTGCAAGCCTCGATCGCAAGCGATCTGATGGGATGAACGCATGGTTACGTCTGTGATAATTATGAGTTTTCTCTGTTAAGTAAATATACATGTCTTCGCATGGCTTTATTTTATAATGAAATAATATTATCATAGTATTTCTAAACACAGCTTACTTTTGCTATTTCAAATACCAGTTAGTTTTTAAACTATATTAGACTTATGGTAAGAGTTTTGCTTTAAAATTAGTTCAGATACTAAATTGAAATCTACAAATCAAGATTGGATTGTAATTTATTTTCAATCTGATAATTTTTATATTTAATTTTTTTTTTAAATACAAACTTCGAGAAACACTTCAAGATATATAAATGTATCAACTCTAACATATTGTTAAGAAATATACAGGCGCGGTAAGATGGCTTCCCCGCAAAGCAGTTTTAGGGTTGCCATAAAAGAGCAAGAAAGGCAGGGTTGCGACATTTGGCGAGACATCGTCGGCGACAAAATTGGCAATAATATGCGATGGACGGATGGAGAACCTTCTGGAACGAATTCTTACCGGTTTAGCCCAGAATGTTCTCGAACACAAGTCTAAAGCTATATAAACCCTGCTGGTCCGCAGTGTCTCTCATCTACTTAGTCCGTGCGCAGACGATCGAGTTGACAGCCGAGCAGTGAGTGCCGAGCGGGTCGTCGAGTGCGTCGAAGAGTCTCTTATCTCGGTTAGTGCATCGTCGAGAGAGTGTGTTCAGCTCCGGGAACGACTGAACCAAAGAGTCAGGAGCTGTGCTCTGTGTGACGTCGAGTGCATCGCGAGTTGTAGCGTGGAGAGTCTCGAGAGTACGTGGAGTTCCGAGAACGACCGAGCAGATTCGGAAGCTGTATCCTGGTGCTTTGCAATGAAGCTGTCGTCACCATGATAGCCTGATCACCTGAAGGCTGTGTCGCTGATTGTTCCAACGTGTTTATAGCAGATCTTCGACGACTGTAAAAGTTTTTTGGAGCTGTCCTGATTAATATTGGTAAATAAAGTGTGTTTCGATATTCCATCAAGTGCTGTAGTCATTATTGACTCCAAATCCACACGAACGCCGTACAAACGTGAAAGAATAAAATAACGTAACATCTGGTGTCAGTAAAATAAACGCAACAATATGTATAAGTGTATGCACAGTGTTCTGAATTTTTCAGATTGAAAGATTTGCATTTACTTTTTCTAGCTTGTTTTATTTCCAAAATTTTTTACGATTTATTTCTT